TTTGTTCAAGTCCACAAACCTCTGTCTGTGACGGAGCCCCTCAGACATGGCTCCTCTAGTCACTAGCAGATTCCGACAGTGGTTGCTTTCGGAATCGCTTCCAACATAAAAGCTCCTTAACGGAAACACGTCTTCTGGACTCTCTGCGTGTCAGTTTCCGGCGAGGAGTGGGTGTCCCTACAGGAGGTCCTGAAACCTCCCCACTGTTTTCGCTGGAAGTGTCTCTGAGCCATCCCTCCAGCTCACTTTCCCTCCAGCTCAGCTCCTGTCCCCCTGCTGGTTCCCTCTTCAGCTGCTGAGTCTCTCCCAACCTGTGTGAGCCCTTTCACCTCCCTTCCGTCCGATGGCAGTTCCCTGACATCCACCTCCCCCTCCAGGGCCCCCTTCACCCCCTCTCGCCCCCTCCTCTACGGGCGGTGAGGAGGCAAAACCCGGAATGAACTTCCTTCATCTTCCGATGTCTCGAACACTTCTCTCCACCTGTTGCGGTTCCTGGTCTCGAAGTACTCCTCCTCCTCAGAGTCCATCTCCCCTTCCCCTTCCGAGTCCGGGAAGCCTTCCAACTCCTCCTCCTCATCAGTGGTCCCAAAGTATTCCCTCCGGAACCTCTCCACAGGCTGAGGTTTCCTTGGGAACCTTTGATGGAACGTTTCTATCAATACCTCGTCATTGATATCTTCGGCCATTACCCAAGTGTTTTCTGACTCCGGTTCTCCTTCCCACGCTACCAAATACTCCACCTGATTCCCCTTCCACCTGGCGTCGAGGATTTCTGCCACATGGCTGCTGCATTCTCTTTCTTCTATGACCGGTCCCAGTGGCCATCCCTTCTCGTCCCCCTTCGTACGGTGACAGTAACGACCTGTGAAATACTGGGTGCAGTTTCATGTGGTTGGGTAACCGGAGCCTGAAAGCCACTGGGTTGACCTGTTGAATGACCTCAAAGGGACCCAACCTCCTGGGTCTTAATTTCTTACAACCTCCTTTGAGCAGCAGCCCTTGGGTTGACAGCCACACCCTATCTCCCACCCTTATGGTTTCACCTTCCCTTCGGTTCTTGTCTGCTTGCCTCTTGTATTCTTCCTTCGCCCTTTCTAAGTTGAGTTGGAGCTGACAATGGATTGCTTCCATTTCTTCTACAAAATGCTCGGCTGCCGGGACGCTCCATCTCTCCCCATCTCCCCCTGGGAAAGCCCTGGGATGACACCCATAATTAGCCAAGAAGGGGCTCATCCCTGTGGACACATTCTCGGCATTGTTGTAGGCAAATTCCGCCAGCGCCAACTTTTCTACCCAGTCATTCTCTCTGTCATTGACATAACACCTCAGGTATTGCTGGAGGACACCGTTTGCTCTTTCCGCCTGCCCGTTGGTTTCAGGGTGCCGGGCAGTCGAAAAATTGACCTCCACCTGCAGTAAGCTCATGAGCTTCCTCCAGAACCTGGAAGTAAATTGTTTTCCTCGGTCTGAGACCACCCTCAATGGCACCCCGTGCAACCTAAAAATGTGTTCTACAAATACCGTCGCTGTCTCTTCCGCCGTGACTGCATGCGAGCAAGCTACAAAGTGGCACATCTTTGTTAGTAGGTCCACCACCACCATGATGGCTGTTTTCCCTTTGGACTTCGGCAGATCAGTCATAAAATCTATCGACACTGCCTCCCAAGGTCGTTCTGGGGTTGGTAAGGGTTCTAATAGCCCCGCCGGCGCCCGCCTTTCCCCTTTGGCTCGCTGGCATTGCTCGCACCCTCTTACATACTCACGTACATCTTCCCTCACCTTGGGCCACCAAAATTCCCTGGTGACCAACCACATGGTTTTGTGTTGTCCAAAATGCCCCGCCGTAGGGCTGTCGTGCAACTGCTTGAGTACCCTCCCCTTAAGTCTCCTTCAGGGATATACAGTGCCCCTTTGTAATACAAAGCTCCATTTCTTTCCTCGAAACCCCCTGGTTCCTCTCCCTCACCCCTAAGACCTCTGAGCTTATTCTGGGCGTATTCATCATTCTCTGTTTCCTCTACCAGTTCTCTTTGTCCCACCAATGCCGCCCCACACACCCAGCGGTCCTCTGGAATGACATGTCTCTCTTCGGGTGCTCCCTCCCCCTCCAAATATTCAGGTTTGCGTGAGAGAGCGTCCGCCCTAATGTTCTCTGGGCCTGGCACGTAACAAATCTCAAAGTTAAATTTGGAGAACTCCTGGGCCCATCTCACTTGCCGTTGGTTGAGCACTCGTGCCGTCCTCCAATACTCTAGGTTCTTGTGGTCAGTGCACACTTGCACCTTATGTTGTGCGCCAATTAGCAGGTGCCTCCATCTCCGGAACGCCTCATGAATGGCTAGTAGTTCTCGGTCATACACCGTGTAGTTCCTCTCGGATTTGTTCAGCTTTCGCGAAAAAAGGCACACGGTCTCCACTCTGACTCCTCCTTGCCTGGCTGCAGAAGCACCGCCCCAATCGCTCTGTCTGATGCGTCAGTTTCCACTCTCATCGGTTTTTGTAAATCCACATGCAGGAGTTGTTGTTCCGAGGCGAAGGCCCTTTTAGTTCCTCAAATGCTCGCTCCGCCTCCTCAGTCCAAACGAACTTCTTCTTACTGCTGAGACAGTCCGTAATGGGCGCCGTCAGGTGGGCAAAGTTTCGGATGAACTTACGATAGAAGTTCCCAAATCCTAGGAACCTCTGCACATCCTTCCTTGTTTTGGGTGTTTTCCATTCCAGCACCGCCTGGACCTTGCCGGGATCCATGGCCAATCCCTTGTCTGACAGGCGATACCCCAGGAATTCCACCTCCTTGGTATGAAACTGACACTTCTCCAGTTTCACCCACAGCTGGTTGGCTTGCAGCCTGCTCAACACTTCTCTGACGTCTCTCACATGCTGCTCCTCATTCTCAGAATACACCAACACGTCGTCTAAAAGGCCACACAATTCTTGTAAAGCAAAGGCCCCAGGACGTGGTTCATAAACGATTGAAAGGTTGCGGAGCCTGCTTGTAGGCCGAAGGGCATAACCAAATATTCAAATGCCCCTAAAGGGGTGAACATGGTGGTTTTCCATTCATCCCCCTTCCTTATTCGTACCAGGTTGTACGCCCCCCTTAGGTCCAGCTTTGTGAAAATCTTTCCCTTCCGCACCCTTGTCAAAATGTCGTCAATCCTGGGCATAGGGAAGGCCACTGGTTCTGACACTGCATTTAAGGCCCTGAAGTCACACACCAGCCTCGGCTTGTTCGTGTTTTTATCCACAAAAAACACTGGGCTGCCCCCACCGCCCTGGACTCTCTGATGAACCCTCTCTTCAGGTTCTTGTCAATGAACTCTCTTAGCTCCTGCATCTCTCTGTCTGACATGGCGTACAGCTTGCCTACAGGGAGCTGTGCCCCAGGGAGTAAATTGATTTGACAGTCAAAGGGTCTATGC